CATTCCGATCGGGGTCGGTGGCTAGCATCGTCAAGGATACCAGATCGAGCCCACCGACAACTACTCGAAGAAGCGGCTCATCATCATTTACCAAGAGACGGCTCGAATCCACCAGTATCACGACCCGGTGCAACACCACTTTTTATTCGAGCGGTTATACGACCTCGAAACTTCTGAAGGCCATCCGGGATGGTGAAATTATGTATCGACGTGCTCGAGGACGAAAGCCTGTTCGATGTAGTGCACGATCGGGTTGCGCAGCACTTGCGGTGAGCCTACCAGAAGCAGCCGATCATGGTACTCCAGCATGCGACCTTTCTGTTGCATGCCCGTAGCACTTGCTCTACAGCGCTACGGACAAATATATCACGTATGCGTCGTTGCATACAAGAGACCATGTCGACAGCACCCACGCGCGGTTGGGACGAGGAGCGGGCATTTCGTCGACAGCGCTACCGACGAGGAACGCCATGTACAGCGCTACAGGCAAAGTGCTCCGTCATCGGCAACCGCTGCAACATCCCTTGCGTGGGGCCCTGGGCGTGGCCCGTAGGAACGCCTAGGCCACTTTGGCGGCCACTACGGACCCCATGCAGTGCCCGTTTCCGGTCTGCCCTCTCCGCCTTTTCCTCCCCCCTTCTCTTTATCGTCGAGCACCGTCTGGAAATTGGCTTGTAGGGCAAGGTCCAAGCCCCTTTCCCCCTCCCCTTCCTGAAAGAAGGACAGAGAGAGAAAGGGAGAGAAAGAATGAGAGAGACAACCAAATAGTAATGAACGGTCCTCCTCCTCCTCCTCCTCCTCCTCCTCCTCCTCTCCTCCTCCTCCTTCTCCCCCGTCTCATTATCCTCCTCCTCCTCCTCCTCCCGCCTCCTCCTCCTCCTCCTCTTCCTCCTCCTCCTCCTCCTCCTCCTCCTCCTCCTCCTCCCCTCCTCCTCCTCCTCCTCCTCCTCCTCCTCCTCCCCCCCTCTGAAGAGCGCCTGGGCGCCAGCGTGCCCGCGGGCCCCGCGGGCAAGTGCGGCGCGCGCTCCTTGGCGCGGGCGCCGCGCCGCGTCTCGCGGGGCGGGGAGCGGCGCTGCTGCCGCTACGGAAGGACGCACAGCAGCAGCAGGTGTTGGAGCGGGAAGCGTGGGAGGAGCAGGAGGACCAGGGGTCCCCTCCTCCGTCCGCGGCCGACGGCCGCCGCGCTGCGCTTCAGGGCGCAGACCCGCATGGCGCGTCAAATGTCGGGAAATAGCGGGGCCAGGGGAAGGCGGAGGAGGGGGTCTGATGGGGGGCGGCAGCGATGAAAAATGATCCGGATCCAGACGGGTGTACCGCATTGGGGCGTGATCGCAAGTCTGGACGACGGGAGCACATCGCTCATTTGGAAATGAGGCCCACGCTGCAGCCGGAACACCGATTTGCAACACCGGCATAATGGGTGTGTAAAGCCAGAACAAAATAGGGCCAGCATATGTAGAGGTCGCGTGTGTCGAACCAGTATGCGGACAGGGCCGACCATCATCCCCACAGAGTCATTGGACATGATCAAGTCGAACTCAGAATGTGTAACTTTGAGGGACGAGGGGCAGGAGGAGAAGGAGGAGGAGGAGGAAAAGGAGGAGGAGGAGGAGGAGGAAGAGGAGGTTCCGGACGAGGACGACTAGAAGGAGGAGGAGGAGGAGGAGGAAAACCAGGAGGACGACGTGGAGGAGGACGTGGAGGAAGAGGAGGGGGTGGGAGGAAGAGGTGGGAAGGAGGGGGGAATTTAGGTGATATAACTTTGGGGCGCCTGAGCCCCGTCAGTGGGACCAGAACCCTGGTGTCACCTCTCTTGGAGACACGGTGGTCGCAAGCGTCCATCGTGGTTGACAGGACGGGAAGGAGGAGGTGGAGGAGGAGGAGGAAGAGGAAAAAGAGGAGGAGGAGGAAGAGGAGAAGGATGAGGAGGAGGAGGAGGGGAGGAGGAGGAAAATGAGGAAGAGGAGGGAGTAGGAGGGGGAGGGGGAAAAGGGGGTGGCAGGTGACAGGCGCAGCGGAGGCGGGCCCAAAGCCCCCGACGCATCGCAAAGACACGCTGCGGGTGGTTTCTGTTGACCAAGTTCAGCCTCTGGTGGCCAGTGCCAGTGCCAGGCCGCAGGGGCCGTGGACAAGAATCGGGTGGGTGGTGATGGGAGTTGACCTCCACGCGGGGCGTAGAAGCGGGCCCGAAAGAAGCCCTTCAGGGTCCTCTTGGGAGCCAGCGGGGGCCCTGAAGGGCCCGTTGAGGGCCATTTTCTTCACCTCCCAAGTCAGGGCACCCCCCATTACCATGTGTGTTCCCCCTCGTCGCGTTTCCCCGCGCAGGCGCTCCCACAGGCAACAGTCTCGAGAAGGAGGAGGAGGAGGAGGAGGAGGAGGAGGAGGAGGAGGAGGAGGAGGAGGAGGAGGAGCCTGCGATGGGAATCCGGCCCCAGGGAGCGCTGCGACGTTTGGCCCGAGGAACGCACGCGCCGCGCCCGGGGAAAACACGACGTGGGGCCCCGGGAGCGGCGAGGGCAGGGGGGGAGGGGGGCGAGGAGGGGGGCCAGGCGCTGGGAGGAGTATCCCGACTCCTCCTCCTCCTCCTCCTCCTCCTTCTCCTCCTTCTCCTCCTCCTCCTCCTCCTCCTCCTCCTCCTTCTCCTCCTCCTCCTCCTCCTCCTCCTCCGGATCGGCATGGGCACGGAAAGAACATGGGCACGACGATTGACAGCAGATCTTGTTCATTCTGTTCATTCTGAACAGGACTCGCTGTTGGTCTCGCCGCAGACATATCTGTTGCTGGGCATCGCACCCATTTTTTCGCCGTGCGGGCGTCCCAAGAGCGCGAGGAAACGCTTGCAGGAACAGGAGCCGGACAAATGAGTCTGCGCGTGAGCCCTGTTCGCGGGGACCGGCGGTAGGTACAGCGGGCGCAGACGGCGATCCCGAGGAGGGGGATCAAGAGTATGAGGAGGACCAGTACAAACCCAAGACTCAACGATGTTTCAACCAACCCTCCCTCCAAGTTCCCTCGTCACAGGCCCGTACAAGGATCATTATCACTGAAGGAAGTGTCTCGTTGGAAGACAATCGACTGAAAATCCAGAGCCGTGAAACAACATTCTGCCTGAGACTTTAACGCCGCGAATCAACGTTAATGTTGCATCCTGACGATTCTGAACCGCGCCAGGACACCGTTCTTGGGATCACAACACAGCGAATCAAAGTATCTCTTGCGCGCTGACAGTCCTACAGCGTGCCAGTAAACACCGTTACGGGGACGTCAGCCATAATAATTCTTGCAATTGTTATAAACTCTTGAGGCGAATGTGCGCGGCGGTAATGCGAGAGCTACATGTTGAGAACAATCCGCCCTCCATCTCGAAACTCTTGCAATTTTTTGCGGCGCTTCGGCGCTAGCCACATTTTGAAAAGGGGCCGACCTCCATCCGCGAAGCTCCTGCAATTCGTTACGATGAATGTGCGCGGCGCCAAGGCGAGAGCCACATGTTGAAAAGGTATCGCCCTCAATGGTTTAAGACGAATGTGTGCGGCGCTGAGGGCGAGAGCCAAGTTTTGAACCCTTCCTGTTTTCCATCCTTGGGGCCCTTGCAAACTTTAAGAGAAATGTGAGCGTGGCGAATGCGAAAGAGACATGTTCGAAAACGGCCCGCACTCCATCCGTGACTTTGTTGCCAACGTGAGCATCAGGATCACAAGTTGAGAGGAAGACTCGGGCGAACCGCCCGACCCGTCCTACCGACACGTCTGGGGGCGCGACAGGGAGGAGTTCGTTATAAAGATCAGGGATGCAATCGCATTTCGGCGTCAGCAGGAGCAGGATCAGGAAGGCGAGGAGAGGGAGGAGGACGAGCGAGAAAAGATTAAGAGAAGGAGGAGAAAGAGGGTGATACGGACTACGACGACGACGGAGGAGGAGGAGGGAGGAGGAATGACAACGGCGGCACCAACCTCGAGGGCCATCGGCCAGGTGGGAGTACGACATCTGCGCTGCGCCATGCTGATGTTTTCAGCCCCGCCACCAGTCGCTTTCCTGGATACATGTCCGCCTCTGGCGTTGGGAGGCGCTAGTCAAACCAGCTACGTGGGATGATTCTCTGACCACCCTGGCTACAAACTCCTCTTGTCCGCCCCGATGTGGGCGTCGGCGAGCGATCGAGGAGGGGGAAGCCGAGGATGAGAAGGAGGAGCAAGAGAGGAGGAGGAGGAGGAGGAGGAGGAGGAGGAGGAGGAGGAGGAGGAGGAGGAGGAGCAGCAGCAGCAGCAGCAGCAGCAGCAGCAGCAGCAGCAGGAGCAGTAGCAGGAGCAGGAGCAGGAGCACGTGCACGAGCACGAGCAGGCGCAGGAGGAGGAGCAGGAGGAAGAGAGGAGGATGAGGAAGAGATGCGGAGGACGACGACGATAAGGAGGGGGAAGGAGGGAGGAGGAGGAGGAGGCACCGACCTCGAGGGGCATCGGCCCAGGTGTAGACAAGAATCCACTCGGCCTGGCCTATTTTTTCAGAGTCGGCGAGCGATCGGGGAGGGTCGGGCTGTACCAAAGGTGTCCCTGACTCAGAAGGTGTCCTCATCTGTTCCTCCATCTTGGATCCGCATGGGGCCCTCTGGGCCTCATGAGGGTGCTCTGGAAGCTCTTCGGGGGCCTTCCGGAACACCCTGGGGACACCTTCCCAGACATACGTCGTATCGAATGTTTCAGTGCGAGGGTCCCCGGACGTCCTCTTACCCCAGGGCAGGAGGAGGAGGAGGAAGAGGAGAAGGAGGAGGAGGAGGAGGTCATTCTGAGTCATTTCTCGACGGATCCGGCCGGGGCGCCGGTGAGGGCCACCGGCGCGGGATGAGAGCAAGACACGTCCGTCGTGATATTTCTCCATGGTCTCAGCGATCCGATGGGGTCTGGGCTTCGGGTGTGCTGGCACGCCCTGGGGGCGCGGTGGGCCAGGGACACCTATCTCACATCACTCGACAGGAGGGGCCGCGCTCGCGGCCCCGCCGCCAGGTGCTCGAGACGGCCGCCCTCACCGCCGAGCTCCCCCCCGGCTCGCTGCGCGCGTACGTCATCTCCCAGGCCGCCTCTCGGCCAGACCCAGACCCCCGACGTAATGATTTTTTCATTACGTCGACCCCCAGAGGTCCCGACCCCTTCCCCGGGACCGGCTTTTCATCCCGAGTCGTTTTTTGACGGTCCTGAGGGCCGGTAAGGGCCCCTGGAGGCCGAAAATAGCGAAAAACCTTTCGTCATGATTTTGTCATTACTCGAGGGGGTCTGGGGAGCGCACGTGCGGCGATCCTCCCCTCCCAGAGGAGGAAAAAATGTACCCATGTCGCTACGCTTCCCTCGCTCTCCCCTAATTACTTCGGCCTCCCGGGAGGCCCTCGGCGCCACCGCCGCATTTTCGCCTCGCAGTCCTGGTCAGAACGCGCCTTCGGGAGATGTCTGGGGAGTACACCTTAGGCGATGCTTAAGAAAACCTAATTTTTCGGCCAGGGTCTCGATTATTCTTAACTTTTGAATGTGAATCCCAAGATGTTGATAGAAGTTCTGGGTTTTAGTCAATTTCTGAGACTGTGAATTTCTTCACCCATGATTTCTTAAGCATTTCGCAGGGTGTAGCATTATCAGTATTCGTTGGTTTTCCCACTTTCCCTCCTCACGCGCGTTCCGAGCATCTTCCTCCTCGCGAAGTAGAAAAACAGCATACAACTGAATTTTGTTGGCGCTCCGCGCGGATTTTTCTAGGATCGGCGCTTGGGCCCCTCCTCACGCGCGTTCCGGTCATCTTCTCCTTCCCCCTCCTCCAGGGATCGAAAAAAACAAAAACGCCATAAACGTAAAGTGATGGCGCTCCGCGCGGATTTCTTGGATCTCCCTGGCGGCGCCTCCGGCGCCGCCCCTGGTGCGCTCCGCGCGCCAGGGAGGGGGGGCCTAGCGCAGATCCAAGAAGTCCGCGCGGAGCGCCAAAAGTGCATGTTGATGCAGTGCTTCATTCTTCTATCCTCCCCCTCCCCCTGGAAGCTGGAAGCTGGTGGCAAATGAGTCGCACCGACGCTGCCAGCCCTCCTCTCTCGGCCACGCGCAGAGGGGGTAGGGGGAGGGGGGAAGGCAGCTTGCAAGCACTCCTGCTTCTTAGAAGGCGCGGGCCTTCTCTGTAGATATAAGGCTGGCACATTCTAAGAAGCAGCCTCCATAATCGGGCCGAGCGAAAGGGGGGGATAGGGAAAGGGGGGGGGGGGTACGAAATCTGCTGCATGCAGCTGGTTTCAGCTCCACCGAAGGGCCCATTCCTCGATACGTGGGCGCCTCCCGGCGCCGGGAGGCGCCGGGAAAATCGGCCACGTGAGCCGATTCTCAAAACCCCCCCGGTGCTCTCCGCCCCTTACGCCTGGCCCGACATCAGCCTTCCTCCCTCCCTCCGCCCTCCGCACGGGCCAGCGCCACGTCGCCCATGCCGCCTGCGAGCTCCACCGTCGCCCTCGGGGGGTGCGGCCAGTCCGCGCCCTCCTCCTCCTGCTCCCGCTCCTGCTCCTGATCCTCCTCCTCCTCCTCCTCCTTTTCCTCCCCCTCCTCCTCCTCCTCCTGCTCCTCCTGCTCCTCCTCCTCCTCCTCCTCCTCCTTCCTCCTTCCTCCTCCTCCTCCTTCCTTCCTCCTTCCTTCCTCCTCGGAGCTCGGAGCTCAAAGTCGACGGCAGGGGTGCGATGGTCGGAGCTGCCGCGTCCCCGCCCCCGCAGGGGCAGCCGCCCCTCTGGGAGGGAGGGGGGGTGTCCAGGGCTCGTTTCGATTCCGTCGATTCGATTCGACTGGATTTCGATGGCTTCCGATTACGATTCGAGTCGATGTCGGATTCCGATTTGGGTTCAGATTTTTTATTGGAGGCTTGTTATCCTGCCGATTTCCGCCGATTCGACTTCTCCCGACTCGGCTGCCGATTTCCGCCGATCCGATTCATTTCGACCGCCGATCCGACTTGTCGATTCGATTCTGGGCTCTCCTGGGTGTCAGACTCAAACGAAGGTTCTCGCTATTTTCGGCCTCGAGGGGGTCTGGGAAGGCTATGTTCGGCCTCGAGGTGGCGAAAGGGTATACAGAGAAGCCTCGAGCACTGAAAAAATCAATAGACGAGGCCGAAAATAGCGGGAAACCTCGAGGGGGCACCTTCCCCGGGAGGCGGGGTCCCCGCCCCCCAGGGGCAGCCGCCCCCGGGAGGGAGGGGGTATCAGACTCAAACGAAGGTTCTCCTCCCGTCCAGGAGGGAAGATACACAGACACAAAAAGTCGTCGATCCCCCAGAAGTGGGGAAAAGACGCACATCTGTGAAAATATGGAGAATATGCGGGGATCCTTGCACTTGTGTGTCTATTTCCCCACATGCACGAGGGTCAGACTCAAACGAAGGTTTTCCTCCCGTCCAGGAGGGAAGATACACAGACACAAAGAGTCGTCGATCCCCCAGAGAACACGGGAAAGACGGGAAGTGGGGAAAAGACGCACATCTGGGAACATATGGGAAATATGCGGGGAGCCTTGCATTTGCGTGTCTATTTGTTCTTGTGTGTAACTGTGTGAACTTGTGAATGTGTGAATAAATGAATGAGTGAATGAGTGAATGTGTGACTGTGTGAATGTGTGAATGTGGGAATGTGTGAATGTGTGAATGTGTGAATGTGTGAATGTGTGAATGTGTGAATGTGTGAATGTGTGAATGTGTGAATGTGCGGATGTGTGGATGTGTGAATGTGTGAATGTGCGGATGTGTGGATGTGTGAATATGTGAATGTGTGAATGTGTGAATGTGTGCATATGTGAATGTGTGTGTGTGGGTGTGTGGGTGTGTGGGTGTGTGGGTGTGTCGGTGTGTGTGTGTGTGTGCGCGCGTGCGTGCGTGCGTGGGTGGGTGGGTGCGTGCGTGCGTGCGTGCGTGGATGGGTGGGTGGGTGCTTGCGTCCGTTTGTGCGTGCGTGCGTGCGTGTGTTTAGTGTGTAGTGTGTGTAGTGTGTGTGTAGTGTGTGTAGTGTGTGTGTAGTCTGTGTGTGGTATGTGTAGTGTGCTAGTGTGTGTGTGGGTATGCGTGTGGGTGGGTGGGTGTGGGTGTGTGGGTGTGTGTGTGTGTGTGTGTGTGCGTTCGTGCGTGCGTGCGAGCGTGCTTGCGTGCGTGCGTGTGTGTGTGTATGTGTTGTGTGTGCGCGCGTGTGTGTGTGTCTGTCTGTGTGTGTGTGTGCGTCTGTGTGCGTGTGTGCGTGTGCGTGTGTGGGTTCGTGTGCGTGCGTGCGTGCGTGCGTGCTTGCGTACGTGCGTTCGTTCGTGCGTGCGTGCGCGTGTGTGTGTGTGTGTGTATGTGTGTGTTTGTGTCCCTGGGCGCCTTGCTCCTCCTCCTCCCCCTCCTCCTCCTCCTCCCCCTCCTCCTCCTCCTCCTCATCCTCTCCGACTTCTCATCCGACTTCTCATCCTCCTCCTCTCCGACTTCTTATCATCCTCTTCTTGCGGGCGGGCGATTTCTCTTCCCCAGTCCCCGAGTTCCTCCCAAGCATCCTAGGCTGCTCAGAAATGGAGGGGAGCTCGGGGATACAACCCCAGCGGAGCTATTGGGACGCACCCCTTCTCGAGGGTGGATTCCCCATGGTGTATCTCCGAGTTTGGCCCCACATTGCCCCACCCAGTCTGGGATTGGGGCCGTCATGCCCCCCGTCGTCTTCCTGCTCCGCTGCTTCTCCTCCTCCCCGCTCCGGCACACACGCACAGCGTCTGGCCCTCAATCGTTCGAGCCTCGAAACGAGGGCGGGACTGCCACGCAGAGCCGATGCCATCTCACACACCGTCCGCCCCAGCCAGCAGCCGGGGGGAGGACAAGAGGACCAGGTGCGCACACGGAGGAGAAAAAGGGCATGGCGGAGGAGCAGGGGGAGGATCAGCAGGAAAAGGAGAGGACGATGAGAAGGAGGAGGAGGAGGAGGAGAAGGATGGATGGAAGGTCCTCCTGATCGGTCCTCGCCACTTCACCTTCTACACCTACTCTGCCACCTCGCTGTCCTTGATAATTCGTCCAGAACTGAACCAAACCTAAACGCGTTTCTGACTTTTCTCCTGTTCCCCTACCCGACGCACACACAGCAGCTACGAGGACATGTCCGACCATCCCCCTTCCCCCCCCCGGCCAACCAACATCTGGGATAAAAAGTAGGAGGGAGGAGAAGGAGGAGGATGATGATGATGAGGAGGAGGAGGACTGAGAGACACGGGGGAGGACGGAGGAGGAGCAGGAGGAGGAGGAGGAGGAGGGATGGCTGCGCCAGATCGACACACTAGCCAGCAGTTGCCAGCTGCAAGGAAGAGGAGGAGGAGGTGGAGGAGGTGGAGGAGGAGGAGGAGGAGGAGGTGGAGGAGGAGGAGGAGGTGGAGGGAGGAGGAGGAAGAGAAGGAGGTGGAGGGAGGATGAGGAGGACGAGGGCGAGAATGAGAAAGGGGAGGCGGCAGGAGCAGGCGAAGAGGGTCGGAGGGCGGGGTGGGGGGTGGAGGTGGAGGAGTGGGCGGCGGGGGAGGCCTGCCCGCCAGGCGACGTCCGCCTCGGACGTGCTGGCCGTGGAGCTACTCATGGCGGAGGCCCCTCCCGTGGCCCCACCGCCCCCTCCGCCCTCGGCGGGGGAGGGCGAGGACGAGGACGAGGAGGCGTCGACTTGCCGGCTGCGTCGCTGGCTCCTTCGGGCGGGCTTCGAGGCCTCCTCGTTCCTTCCGGGGCGAGGGCCGACACCGAGTTCGCGCGCGCCCTGTCTCTGCACGATGTGGGCACCTCCTCGGACGATAGTCTCGGGGTGGGGAGGGTCGAGGGCGAGGACGGGAGAGGGGGAGGGGAGGGTCGAGGGGGGGGGGGAAGGTCGAGGGGGGGGGGGGAAGGTCGAGGGGGAAGGACGCGGGCGAGGAGGATGGGAGGGGGGGAGGGTCGAGGGGGGCCGAGGTGGACGACGCGGTGGACGAGGAGGGGAGGAGGCGTCGAGGAGCCCCATGGGCCCTCGAGGCAGAGGACAGCGGCCCCATCGGGGCGCGCCCTCGGAGCCGAGGGGGCGCGGGTGCAGCTTCCCCTCCTGGTTCTTCCCCAGGCCCCCTCGCGCCCCCTCCTCTCCTCCAGGCCTCCTAGATTTAAGTCGGGCCTGTCCCTCTGCAGGGGTAATATTCCAAAATAGTCCAAAAATAGTCCGGAGCGATGTTTTGACTACTCTGACCATTTTGTAGCATTTGTGTGTGGTATGTTGTACTTTTCCTCGAAAACCCTCCTGTAGGGGGACACGCCCAACTTAGGATCGCGCCATATCGTCGATGCATTGGCGATGCGTCTCGACGTGGAGCCCGACTTTCTCCGCGCCGACGTCGCCGATGCATCGCCGACGTCGCTGATGCATCGCCGATGCATCGCCGATACATCGGCAATGTTTTGGCGATTCGGCGCGATCCTCCGACCACATCTACTCCGACCCTAATTATCTAGCTTGACCCGTGTTCGGGCACTCTTGGGCCGTCGTGGGACCTTCTCGGGGACCCGACGGGCCGTCTTAAGGCGGTATTGGGGGCCTCTGGGGCCGTCGTGGAGCGTCGAAAACCCGAAAAGGCGAGAAAGCCCAGAATCTTGAAACAACATATTTAAACAATCAGGATTTTGGCTTCGTGGGGCCCTCGTAGGAGGTCTCGTCGAAGCCTCTTGGAGCGTCTTGGATGCGCCTCTTGGGCGCTCTTTTGGGGCTGTTGGGGGTCTCGTGGGGGCCTCGTGGAGGCCCTTGAGGGCCTCTTGGGGCATCCTGGGAGCCTCTGGGGGCGGAAAGCTTGAATTTTCGGCTCGTGGTCCCCTTCTTGGTCCCTTCTTGGGGCCCTCTTGGAGGCCTCATGGGCTATCTTGAGGCCTTCTTGACTTGTGTTCGGGCTGTCTTGGGACCTTCTCGGGGGCCTGACGGGCCGACTTGAGGCGGTCTTGGGGGCCTCTGGGGCCGTCTTGGAGCGTCGGAAACCCGAAAAGGCGGGAAAGCTAGAAACCTTGAACAAAAACAGATGAACATCACAACGATTTTGGCCTCTTGGGGCCCTCGTGGGAGTTCTCTTAGACACCTCCTGGAGCGTCTTGGAGGCATCATGGAGGCCATCTTGGGACGATGTGTCGGCGACTCGGGGCCTTCTTGGACCGTCTTGGAAGGTTTTGGGGCCCTCGTAGCCCGTCCTCAAGCCCTGGAGGCACCCCTGGCAGAATTTCTGGAGCAGAGGACGCCCCCCGGGCAGGCCAGGTAGACCCCCCTCTTCCAAATCGACCGAATCCGGCTCAAGGAGGAGGGGTCTGGGGAGGGGGAAGCATCTCACACGCCGATGAAGCCCAAGGGGTCGGCGGATTGAAGCAGGCCGTTGCCATTCCTGCGGTTGCTGTAACTCCACAATTCCGTACCCCCCCCTCCAGCAAGGTGGTGCTGTAGCGCCATGTATTTCACAAGACGTTCTTGGGATGCGCGTCTATTGGAGGCGCAGTGTACGTCCAGGTGCTCTCAACCCGGGAGCATAGATTCGGACGAGGGCTCGATTTGGAGAGTCGTGCTTGCAGCGTTGTCCCCGCGTGGTTTTGCTACCCCCTCCCCTCCCCTTGTCCGTCTCCGCCGCACGAGCCAGATCTTCAGCTCTCGAGGGGGGCTCCGGCTTCTGCCCCACTGCTGGGCCAGGCAGGCCCGGCGGGTGTCGCCGATGATCTCCAGACCTGCCTGGCCACTCCCTGCCCGATCGGGCCACTCCCTGCCCTCCCATCTGGCGGCTGCTCCTCCTCCTCCGCCTCCTCCTCTTCCTCCTCCTCCTCCTCCTCCTCCTCCTCCTCCTCCTCCATCTCCTCTTCCCGATAATGAGGATGCGAAGGGACGCGGAGGCAGGAGGAGGCGGAGGAGGAGGAGGAGGAGGTGGAATAGGAGGAGCAGTGGGCGGGAGCAGGGGAGAGGAGATGATTAGCATTGCGGGGTCGAGGAGTAATAGCATCAGTTGCGGGGAAGAAGTTTGTTCATATCCTCTGAAGCTTGGAGATTCGGGCTCCCTTCACTGGAAACCCGAGGTGCACTGGATATGGATAGATCTGCCCCTTAGAGGCTCGATGCTTATCCATATCCAGTGCGCCTCGGCCTTGTGGTGCCCATCCCAAGAAAGTCCAAGACGCACTAACTATGAACACAGTTCTTGCCCGCATCAGCGGCAGCGGGGGAGATGGATCCGCAGCAGCAGGGGGACAGGGATGAGCGGAAACACGAGAACGAAGACGATCTGACACAGACGGAGGATGAGGAGCAATGGTCTGATGGCGGATGAGCACGAGGATGAGGAGTATGGCGACGAGGATGCACAGAAGGAGGAGGCGAATGAGGAGGAGGAGGAGGAGGAGGAGGACGACGACGACCAGGGTCGGGCGATGACCAGAATGCGGAGGGACCTTCTTCTCTTCATCAAGTTCTTTCCCCTGTTCCGTCGTCGAGGTCGTCGTCGTCGTCGTCGTCGTCG